TTCACCAGACATGAAGTATTTGGATTCCTTGATCTTGGACTTTGCAATCCCTAGAGTTTAAGAAATGATACCTGATAAGCTAGGGTCAGATGGAAGGGGAGGAGGACCTCCCCTATCAGTGAACTTGGAAAGGGGCATGGAGGAGATAAGGGAGGGAGGGTGGAATTGAGAGGGAATGAGGGAGGGAGCTATGGCTGGGATACAAAGTAAATAACCTGTGGTTAATACAAAAAATAAAAATTACATTAAAAAGTTGACCTTCTGTAGTTTATAAGCCACATGGCCCGTGGTGTTCTGTTACAGTGCCTCCAACAGACTACCCCATGGAGCTTCTTCCCCATGGCTCCATTTCCTTCTGTGGTAGATGGCTGTTAATTACCCTTTTATCTGTGTTTCTTTCCCCAGCCTCTAAAACAGAGGCTATTACCCCTACTCTGTGCTGTCATGCCCCTGTGACAAATTGTGTGCATACTATTTTTCATTCTGTATTGTAATTAAATGTTTGTGCATTAAAGGCCCTGGCTAGACTATAATTTTCCTACAGGCAAACTTTTTTATTCATTTTCCTATTTTCAGACTTATGACAAAACACTGAATAAGATCATTGCTTAATGAATATTTATTTAATGAATACATGAATAAAGGAAGATTTTTAAAGAGTGTACAATTCCACTTCCAGATATTGCAAGTCCATTTAAACTATATAATTTAAAATATTTAACTAGGAAAATTAAATATAGCTTTCCAATATAAATAATATATAAATACTAAAAGCACAGACTAGTATACTGCATGAGAACTTGGCTGTCACAAGAAAATGATGTATTTAGTGACTAGTAAAATGGCAATAGTCTCAAAAGAATTTCATGTCTTTTTATACTTAGTCAAGGGAGATGTCAGTTAGATTACCAAATGGGAACCAGCTCATTCTATTTTATTTGATTAGTGCATTTATGGCAATTATACCCTGCTCAAAAATTAAGATACTAGACCAGAAGCTAGAATAGGAAATTTGATTATGTAACTGGCTGTCTATGCATATAAAACCAATCTAGTGACCAATCATGGAAGACCATCACGTAGCTAACATCGACCCACCAAGAAAATCAGAGAGCTCTAAAAGACTTTGTATGCATTGACAGCTTGTGTGTGTATGTATGTATGTGTGTGTGTGTGTGTTCGTTCTTGGGTTTTGTTTTGTTTTGTTTTGTTGCCTGTGAGTCTCAGTATCTGTTTCAATCCCCTGCTGGGTGGAGTCTCTTAGAGGACATCTATGGTAGGCTCTCATCCTGTTTCCTCCCTTCAGCCATTTCTGGTGCCTACTCTATTTTCCATTCTGAATGAGAATTAAGCACCCTCCCTAGGGTCCTCCTTGTTATTTAGCTTCTTTAGGTCTGTGGGTTCAGTTGGTAAGGGAGGAAGGCTACCCCTTTCTGAGGATTAGGGGATGGGGATAAAGGGCAAAAGGGTGGGAGAGTGGGATGGGGAAGATGAGGGAAGGGGCTAAGATTGGGATGTAAAGTGAATAAATTAAAAAAATAATTAAAAGGAAAAGTGTTTTCAGCACAGAAACCTCAATCCTTACACTTGTAGAAGGGAAGGAAGATGGTAAACATGTACCTAACTGTCTTTCTGGGGCCTTGGATTCACTATTTAGTAGATTCCATAGAAATACTCAAGGCACAGGACAGCTTTTTCCTATTCATGGTTAAGCAGCTGTATTGTTAAATATGCCTTTGTAATAAATCACTTGGTCCACTTTAAAAAAAGAGGTATTTTTCTTTTTGTTTTGTTCTTAAGAACATGAAGTTGGGTGGGTAGGAAGGCAGGAGAATCTAGGAGGAGTTGGGGGATGGGAAACGATATAATAAAAATATACTATGAACTTCTCAAAGAACGTGCTTCTTAAAACCTACTTACATATTCATGAATTTATATATTGAATTATATCTTTTTATTTAAAGAAAAGTAATTTGCTGTCAGGCTTCTCATTGGCAGAAGGTGGCAAGGAGACACCATATAACTTTTATGGAGTTTCTCCTCAAACCATGAGCTGAGTTTTTCTATCTAAGCTTTTAAACTCAGATATTTCATCATGAAAAGAAATCTAACTAATTCAATGAGGTACCTCGAAAAATCAGATTCATAGAGACAGACAGCAAAATGTTTCCTGGGGCCAGTGGAGAGGAGCAAGAGGTTCAGCAAGTGAAGGACACAGTGTTTCAGCTTTGCGGGTAAATAGAGCTCTGCAGATGTGTAATGACCACACAGCAGTGTGAGGACACTCCGAGCCTCCGAGCTCTGAGCTTGAGATAACAGATGATAAACTCTACACTACATCAGAAGTGAAAAATAGAAAATCATATCATTTTATTTTTTAATGAACTAATAATTTAGGCACTTTTAAACAAACAAACAGAAAACAGAGATATAAGCAGCTATGATGCAACTCCTGATTTAAGAACACGATACAACCTTTACTCATAGGAAGAGGATCAAAGAGGAATTTGATCATGCCCTGATGGGAAAAGAAACATGTGAAATGCAGAAGGACATGTGAAATGCAGAAGGTCAGGCTGGAAAGCACACTGTCCAGTACGAAGCTTTCATGTAGCATGTCATAAAGGAATCGATGCAAAGTGACACTAAGGCAAGGAGATGCACAGGGATGTCTGTGTTTTCAGGCTATAGCTCATTACATGTTGAGTGTGTCAAATAGTTTTTAAAAGCGATTAGCTACAGTATCTTTATGTTTCTTATTGCTTCAGATATGAAACATTGTTATGTCTACTAAACTTTTTAGGTGTAATAAAGTTCTCCAGATTATTTATACCAAAATTATGATGTTAACTTGCATTTCCCTCACTATCAGAAAAGAGAAGTTAAGCTAATGTGGTAAGCACAAACCTAGCAGCTTTGTGTCTCACACTCAAAATGTCGAATGAAAGAACTAGAATTTCAAGGAAAGGAAGAATATCGCACTTTGAGACTAAGTAAACTCTGAGTAAAACTAAAACTAATTATTATTTCTTCTAAGTTGCCTATGAAATTCTGAGATGTTCAAGTTAGTCATTTTTAGAGCAGCTAATCTTTGATAGAACTAGATAGAGGTTCAGTACTATGGGAAGAATGTGAAAACTTTTATTTTTATTTTAATGTTACGTTATATAAGTTGTTTGTTTTTCTTCACATTAGGGAAGAATATGCGCTTTCTTTGAGATGGAAGGGATGAAGAGAATGAACACGTAGGATTTGTCAGGGACCACATCCATTTACTGAACTAAAGGAACTCAGCTTCCCAAAAGTCAGAGCTGTAAAGTGCTCTCAAAGTATTCCAGTTCCTCCAGCCGTGAGGAGAAGAGAGAACAAAGACAAGTCTTGAGTGATTAGAACAGGCTGCATAAACTGGTGGATGACATGCGGCAGAGACTCACTCTTTGGGGCAGTTCACGGTCAAGGTGCGAGCTAGCATGGTTGGGCTACTGGATTGCCAGCTGCTCAGTTTTCTTATTTCCATTTGATGAAAGAGGGCAAAAGTGCTCCCCGGGGTCTCTGTCCCAGCATTAAAATTTTTTAAATTACAATTTATTCACTTTGTATCCCAGCTGTGGCTCCCTTCACTGGTCCCCCCGACCACCAATCCTGCCCTCCCTCCCTCTTCTCCTCCCATGCCCTTTCCCCAGTCCACTGATAGGGGAGGACCTCCTTTTCTTCCATCTGATCCTAGCCTATCAAGGCTGACTGTGTCATCTTCCTCTGCAGCCTGGTAAGGCTGCACCCCCAAGGGGAAGGTGATCAAAGAGTCTGCCACTGAGTTTATGTGAAAAACAACCCCAGTTCCCATTACTAGGGAACCCACTTGGAGACTGAGCTGCCATGGGCTACATCTGTGCAGGGGTTCTAGGTTATCTCCATGAATGGTCCTTGGTTGGAGTATCAGTCTCAGAAAAGACCCCTGGGCCCAGATTTTTTGGTTCTGTTGCTCTCCTTGAAGAGCTCCAGTCCCCTCCAGGTCTTTCTCTCTCCCTCTTCTTTCATAAGGTTTCCAGCACTCTGCCCAAAGTTTGGCTATGAGTCTCAGCATCTGCTTTAATGCTCTCCTGGATAAAGTCTTTCAGAGGCCCTCTGTGGTATGTTCCTTCCTGTTCCCTGTTTTCTCCTTCTCCCAAAGTTTATCCCATTTGCCTTTCTGAATGTGGATTGATCATATTACCCAGGGTCCTCCTTCTTTGCTTAGCTTTTTAGGTGTACAGATTTTAGTATGATTATAGTATATGTCTAACATCCACTTATAAGTGAGTATATACCATGTGTGTCTTTATGCTTCTGGGATACCTCACTCAGGATGATCTTTTCTAATTCCCACCATTTACCTGCAAAATTCATTATTTCCTTGTTTTTATTTGCTCAGTAGTGTTCCATTGTGTAAATGAACCACAATTCCTCCGTTGAGGGACATCTGAGTTGTTTCCAGATTCTGGCTATTACGAATAAAGCTGCTATGAACATGGTTGAGCAAATGTCCTTGTGGTATACTTGAGAATATTTTGGATATATGTCTAGGAGTGGTATGGCTGGATCTTGAGGAAGCACTATTCTTAATTGTCTGAGAAAGCATCAGATTGATTTCCAAAGTACAAGTTTACATTCTCACCAGCAGTGGGGGAGGGTTCCCCTTTCTCCACATCCTCTCCAGCATGTGTTGTCATTTGAGATTTTGATCTTAGCCATTCTGATGGATGTAAGGTGAAATCTCAGGGTCATTTTGATTTGCATTTCCCTGATGACTAAGGACACTGAGTATTTCTTTAAGTGGTGAAAAGTTTTATAATATGCAAAGCAGAAATTCCTTTAGGTTTTAACTCACAAGCAAATAGCATTGCATATAAAAATCAACTCTGTTTACCATTTGAAATAATTAAATCTCTTCACACTAATAAATACTTACTACTTGAAAATAACCTTTTGAATTTCCTGGCAATTCCCCTGGATTTGCTTACCCTCCATGATGGTCAAAGGGTCTTCCACCTTCGGGCGCAGGATGTTGGGACCAAAGACAGTTGCCAAGTTCTGTGCACTCATCTTGTTAACTCCTGAATAGGACTGGACTTCATCCAGAAACCTGGTGGTGGCAAGATCCCCATTGAAACAGTGAGAAACAGTCCTTTTTTTTTTTTTTTTTTTTTTTTAGTGGCATGAAATGGATCATATGAACTGAAATACGCTCAAAGATTATCTGTGGAAACAGAACTCTATGGAAATTCAAACATCCGTTACTGGGATGCACAGACAGATTACACTGCAAACGACGAGGCATTGGGCAGCAGGGTCTATCAAAGGACTGTTGGGCCTTGTGTAGCTTTGTCTCCATTGTCAACTAAGTGAGTTTGGAAGTTATTACAGATCTTGAGAGTCAAGAATATGTCTTCCCTTCTGTTGTGGTTTACATGGGTATCCCTCAAAGGCTCATGTGTTAAAGGTCTTTTGACACTGTTGGGGAGTCACAGAACCTTCAAAGATGAAGTCTCGTGTGGGGGGTTTCCTCGAAGGAGATATTGAGACTCGGTCTCTGATGATGAGGGGGTGGGAGATCTATAAGGCCAGAGTTTTAGGAAGCCACGTTAGTGAGAGCTGAAAGCACAGTGTCACATATGTAACAGTTACTCCCACACTTCATCCCACTTCTTAAAATAGCGAGACCTTTACAAATGAAAGTGACCTTTAATACAAACATGTGTTAATATCAGGAGAAAAGGCTAGTTTTACAGAAGCACGCAACTGTCTTGGTTATTCCAGGACTAATAGTTTCTCTATCGGTACATTATCAGCATTTTTGAAGCTCCTGAATAAGCTTTCCCTACCACATCAATGTTTTAATGTGTCCCAGAACTAAGCCTGGGGTCTGGGGCTGCATCTCAGTGGTAACGTGCCTCCCTGGCATAGGACAGACCCCACGTTTGACCCTGGCACGTCAAAAATAAAACTAAATAAATAACAAGTAACAAGGTTTGGAGTAAAGTCACTCCAAAAAATCTGTGACAAACATAAACTGTAAGCCCAGAAATCCATAGGTACATGACCACGCCCATTTGACCTCAGGATGACTTTCAAAGCCCTTCAGTTCCCCGTGCAGTAAGAAAGGTCAGTGCTGGACTGTGCACTCCTAAAAACAGGTGACCGTCCTGGCATTGTACTACCCGAAGAGAAAAGCAGTGATTTGAAATGCAATAAACAAAGGCAATACATGCCCTTCCAATAAAAGATACCTGAAGATTTAAAACAAGCCTGGTCACTAAACAAGTGGCTCTACACATGTTTCTTCCTGGTTATCCTGCCTCACCACAGGCTGAAACTGACAGGACCAATCACTCTGAAATGGAAACTAATCAAGCCTTTATTCTTTAAAGTTGACTAGCTTGGCTACTTTTTTCATTTTTACAGTAATAAAAAGATGACTAGCATGCTTACAATGCTTTGGATATTAAGTTTAGACACACATTCAGCGAGAGAATAGTGCATAAGATCATCTGGTAAAAATCCATGATTCGACAGAGGAGGAATCACTGTCCTCATGGGGAATTTAAGAGCACGAATTATAATCTATTAAAACATAAGTTCAAACATTATGAGAAGTAAAAAAAAAAAAAATGTCAGTTATATTGATGAAAAACTGCAAGCACATATGTCTCAATTTACCCTCAATTTAAGGGTTAAAGAATAAATAGCAAAAATTAACTCATCCTTGGGCAATTTCAGTAGAAAAACTGCTCTGTCCTGGCAACCCGCATTGAGTGGCTCATAACTATTGTAGCGCCATGCTACCCATCTTCCGGTTTCTGCTCTCGCCAGGCACATACTTGGTACATGTACATAGAGGGCATTTGCACATACACATAAAAAAAACTTTAAAATAAAGCTTAAAGATCTGTCTAAGTGTTTGAGGAGTATTGTTGCTCTGTGAAGAGCCTTGTGGTAGGCTCAGCAAACCTCTGTTAGTCTCTTTTACCTGAGGGGGAGGCTCACCTTCTCTTGCTTAACACAATAACCTGAATAGATTCAAAATTCTCGGACAAAAGCTTTCTGTGCTTGTAAATGTGTGTTGGTTAAAACAGTCCCTGCTTTCGGAAGGTGTGAAGTCAAAGGTCCTACATGTCAGTAAACACAGCGATCAATAGGAAGGATGTGATGGAGGTCTGGAAACCCAGGCTTCCTTTCATTGTCTCTGAATGCCACACTGCCCACTTTCCTAAACCTCATCGTCGCTATGAGAAGTAGCTGTTTTCACTACTGCATTTTTTTTTTTAACTCAAAAAAAGGTACGAAAACTGCATGAAGGTGCAGAAGAAAATAGTCCGGGATAGAAACCGCATTTCCAAGCTGCCTTCCTCAGTCTAGGGCTCTCTTAGGAACGCTCCACAAACGACTTTGATGAAACCTTCAGGCAATCTATCTTTAATGTGTGGAGACAAGAGACATTTAAAATCATCACGTTATAAAATCAAGCAATTCTCATGTCCAGGAACTCTTTGAATTAACCTTGTGAAACGTATTAATTTTCTGTGAGACTATCATGGAAGCTCAGGTTGCTTTATTCACTGCTACACGTGAGTTAGCATCGAGCTAAACGCAATGTTGTCTGGTTTAGATTTGTGCTGAGGAAAGTTCTTACCTGCAAATGTACTTGAGGAGGTTGTAGTTAACCACGGGCAGGCTCTTCACTTGCTTCACTAACTCCTTAACACCCTGAGCACAGACAAGAAGAGAAGGAATGCATGTTACCGTCTGTGTGCTAGGTTCAGAAGGCCACCAAGCAGGGAACGCCATTCGGGCACTGCTGTCGCTGCTGCAGCAGCAGCAAAATGACCCTGCCCTGAAAGTGTTCCACCATCACAGAGAGCAATCTAGCACTATTTCCAAAGATGCACAGGTATTTTAAGTACCTCTATAAATTCAGTCACATATTCCATGATGGCATGTCAGTGGCCCAACAGACTACATCATCCAGAGACTCTGTGTGGTCTCTGCACGATAGACAGCTGCCTGGAGACATGCTCCTTGGAGCTGCTGCACAGCACGAGGCTACTCTTTTGGAAACAGTCTTAAAAGCGAAGCTATTTTAACTTAAAAAAATTGTTTGCAGTTGACTTGAAAACAGACTATAGCTTCATTTGCAATAAAATTATCTTTAAAAATAGCACATACAGAGTGACTATCCTTCACAATTGCACACGCCCGGAGTCTAGAAAGATGTATGCCTTCTGGCAAGTACCACTCTGCTCATCGGGAGGGAAAAATTGGAAAGGCTCATCCAAGGGATTTTCATAAAGAATAAATAACTTCTTTGGTTTTGATGATTGTAGGATGTCCTCGAACATATAAAGGCCACAGAAAGGTCAGTTGATAATGGGGTCTGATTTATTCTTTCTTAACATGGTCAGGTAGTGTGTATTTTAGTTTCAGAAGACAGACTCTGTTATGACTACTCAAGTATTATTCTTGATTCAAAGGAAACTTCCAATAATGCTCTTTTAACACAAAAAACAGAACAGTGTTTATGAAAACAGGCAGCAATTCAAGTCTTGAATGCCAACAAAGCCAGTGGTGGAAAGGACACACTCTTCAGCAAATGGTGATGAGCCAATTGAAAGTGTAGTGCAGAAGAATAACATTGCCCGTTCCTCGAATCAGAGACAAGAACGGATTCCTAATGGATTTCGGGTGTTAACATGAGGGCTACAGTAAAAGCCTCAGGGGAACCTGTAGAACTAAAGCCCTTATGCTCTTCCATGAAACAAGAGCTTTTTGGCCATGACCTAAAAAGTAAGAGTGGTAGAAATGGATGAATTAGATTCCATTGAAACTGGTAAAAAAAAAAAAAAATACTTCTGATACAAAGTTTCTGATAAAATACAGTATCTGGAAAGTGAAGAGATAACACATGCAAAGAGAGAAACTATTTGCAAATGACTTGTATCGAAACTGTCTTTACAGCTCAATGATAAGAAGACAAATACAGTTGCCTTCTAGCCCTGAAGATTCAACAAACTGTAGATTAAAACTCCTAGAAAAAGCTACTTCTGTATTGAAATTGACCAGCATTTCCTAAATAGGCCTCAAATCGCTATTTGTAGGCCCCTGTGTTGTCCTGGGTTCTATATATCTAGAGCTGACCTAAAATACACAGGAATTTGTGCCCAGCTTATGCAAATAATACAGAATTTTATGTTAAAGACACAAACGCTACAACATTCTTACACAGTTCTGGAGCCAAGCCCTTTAGGGATTAGAATGGCTGGAAAAAAATGCAAAAACAGTAAAACGACAGATAAGAAGGTAGCACCGCGCTCTGTGACTTCTCTGAGATATGTGATAAATGTCAGATGCCAATGGCAGACATGCAGGGAAGTTGGAACCAGTACTATTTGCTGGTTCCAACCAGCAAAGTTGGAAAGTCTCATGGCCTCCTACAGAGTTTAGTAACCCAGCAATTCTACCTGTGAGGTATATAAACAAGCTACATGTAAAATATGCCAATGCAATCTCGTGGGCACAGGGGCAACCCCAGCATCATTCAGTAACCCAGTGTTGGGCATGAAACGCATGTTCCTTGGCGGAGGAACGGATGACAGTGGAATAGAATTTGGAATTATAAGAAATGAGGTACTGATAGGTGTTACCGCATAAACAAACCAAGGAACTGACAGGAGTGAATCAGAAAACAAAGAATGCACGGAGAAGTGAAATGAAATGTCCAGAATATGTAAGTCTATTGGGGCCGGGGGAACAGATCAGGAGTTGCAAGCACAGGAAAGAGAGATAGGAAAATAAGGGATGATGTTTTTTATGGAATAATACAAATGTAAGTATTCTAAAATTAGAATTTGGTGATATTTGCACAACTCTGAAAATGTACTAAAGGATACTGAACTACAGTTTCAACAGTTGATTTATAGTACACAAAGAATATTTCAAAAGTTTTTTTTTTTATTTTTAAACAAAACAAGCAGAGGCACCAGTTGGTACCAGGCTATTTTTTTTTTTAATGCCACTTATGGGGAAGATGACAAAAAACAGGGCACTAAGAGACAGGCATGAACCCTTCCCTGAATTAGAAGGCTCGAGGCAGCGTGGCCATCAGCCATTAGGGGGTGGAAGGCAGAGTGATTTTACTCATCTAGCTAGGTTCTCTCATCAGAAAGCTTCGAAGATGGGGGTTTGGCTCGATGTGATGTCAGCACCTGGCACACGGTAAAACAATCCAAGGGCAGGGAAAAGGGAACTTCCACATCTAAAGACTAAAAGCACCGCCCACATCCCCAAACGTGAGTTTGTGCAGAAGTGGCACCGACTCACCGCATCTTCGTCCTTGCTGAGCAGCGTGGCACACGACAGAAAGTCTTCGTACTTTGCGTAAGGAATGACGGGCTCTGGGAGTTCCCGGAGGTACAGTTTCAGCAGGGATGCCACAGTGTGTACATCTGTGTTGCTGCAGGGACAGGAGTTTGGAGACACTCGTTGGCAAGGGTCCACACAATTCTACTTACGTTTTTCATCATATGTATGTCTAAGAGAATGGTGCCAAAGTTTGCGATTGAATCAGCTGATTTGGTTTGCAGGGAGTACTCGCTGCCATACTGCTCAGCGGATGCCACCACAAGTAGCAGGAAATGGACACTGAAGGACACTAGGCCTTCAGTCTGGCCTGAAAACACTTAAAAGGCCAAGCATTTTTCTAACACGCAGAGCTGACACTAAACAAAAGCACCAACTTTGGAAAATAACACGAATACACCAGGTTGTAAAATAAAATACTACACGATTCACAAAGAAGTTAAATCTGTGTAAGTGTGGGAGCATGCATTGTTTTTGGTTTCTTGCTCCATCTTTCAAAGTGCTGAACTTGTTTCAGGGGACACACAGACCTGTGGTTGCAGATATCTGAAACTTAGCGCGCACTAACTTTTCAAGCCTTGCTTATCTTGAACATGACTGATTCTGCATAATGGCTTGTCTAGAATTATGAAATGCTTGTGGGCTCTCAGAGCTCCTAAAGGAGAATACTCTGAGCATTTAACATGACCTTTACACAACTTTCATAATTTCTCTCTGGCTGAATGCCAGCGTGGCAGGATAAACCGCAAGAACATTAATTGACATTTTGCTGTTTGTGCCTCCCATTTCTCATTAATCCATGAAGACAGAAGCCAGCGTGCTGGCACATCCACCAACATAATGTACTATGCAGTAAAATGACATAATATTCCCATACATGTCTACAAAGAGGAGGGGGAGAAGAAGGAAGCGTTGCAAGTTAGTTATTCCCCGTGACCCAGGAAGACTGGAAGGAAACCATGAGGGATTCTGAAGGAACTCAGAGCCTACACTTCACTCTCAGGCTGTGGTGGAGCTAAGCATCCGGAGGACTCTGCCGGCGAAGGTGGAACTGGGCGCTAGGATGCCCTGCCTAGTGAACCTTCTCTTATTCCAAAGACGCCGTACTGCAGAGTCCTCACAAAACCATGCCGGACAGAACAATGCGCCACCAGGTTGATTTTTAACCCCTAGGGTGATTTCATCCTGCCTTTACTACACAGCTAGTCCATCTTGTGTTTTATGTCAGAGACTTAAGGGCGTTAAGGAAGAGGCCTTATTGTAGCCTGCTCATCATATGCAGACACCCCAGTGAGAATCGGCAAGATAAAAAATGGCCACAAATGCTGGTAAGGATGCTGGAAGGGGGCACTTGTTCACTGCTGGCGGGAGTGCAAACTGGCACAGCCACTCTGGAAATCAGTGTGACCACGTGACCCAGCTTTGCCACCCTAGGGAATATACCCAACTCTACATCACACTTCCGAGACAGCCGCTCACCCATGTTCATTCCAGCTCCACTCACAACAGCCAGGGAACGGAAGTGGCCTAGACGTTCAGCTGACGGACGGACGAGGAGAATGTGCTATATTTACACAATTGGATGTTTTTCAGCCGTTAAGAAGCGCGCAATTACGAAATGCGCAAGTAAATGAGTGAAGCTTCGAACAGTCATTTTAAATGGTTCTCCAGCCTCCTGTGAGTAGCAGCGCAGAGACTGGCTGAACAGTAGGTGGCGCAAGTGCAAAGCAAGATGCAGGCGAGGGCCGGAAAAGGATGAAGAGAGCCGTAGGATGGTTCCACCAGCAGCTTGTCTAGAACCCGAGCCATGAATACCTCAGGAGCAGAAATATTTAAACTATGAGTGAAAGTAGGGGGGAAGAAAGGGGGTGAAGAACTGATATTTGGTGCCATCTCTGAGTGACATTACAATTAACTGTCTTGCGATATAGCACATCCTCACAGCACTAATTACACAGAAATGATTGCGATCCAAATGACCAAGTATCTTCGCCCTTCATTCAGTTGGTGACAGGTTATCAAACTTTCCACTTGAAAGTCCAAACCTCGAAGTTTATGGCTGTTTTGTGAAGTTTATGGCTTATTAAAACCCAGTGTTTCCCCATAGTGAGATTGTGTCATAGGAAAATCTATCACAGAGAATAAAACTCCTAACTGACAGCGGGGACACCTGCACACACCTGGCCTTCAGTGCGGGGCAGTGAGGAGCTCCTGTGACAGCCCACCCCCGGAAGTCCCCAGGCAGAACCCTGCAGGACAGATGTTCTTCCTGTTTAATCACTCACAGCTGAGCTACCTCTGAGTGAGGCTGTTCGGTGGGAGCATCAGGTTCCTTGCCAACGTACACAGGCTTAGGTTTCTCAGTGGAAGAGTCCCACTCAGACATGAAGATGGTTTGCCATGTCCGCTGCACCCATGCAGAGCAGGGAAGCAGAGAGGGACGGCTCCAGGACCCTGGCGGAAGAGCTTTGGGACGGAAGCGTGTCTCAGCCTCCCTGATCGGTCGGCACACACGGCTCGTTTCTGTGTCCCTCAGTCCGAGCTCACTGCATGAAGTATTTAAAGAAAGCCTTCCCTCGGCTCTCTGTGACTGGACTGACTCCATGTTCTGGTGGGTCATCTTTCATTCTGCATACGACCCTCCATCCCTGAGGAGTTCCTGAGGAGTGGTATGCACTGCCTCACGCTGCACGCTGGAAGGAACAGAAATCCGCCCCACAGAGCCTTTTGTCCTCCGTAGACTTCCATCCCTAACAGGGCATCGACAACACATTTCCTTGCCTCCTTAGGTTCTGCTTCAGAACTTTCTGTGTAACTGACGTGGCAGGTGCGTGACTTTAAGGGCACTCCACATGTAGGCTTCCTGCAAATGTCTTGCTCTGTGCATACTCTGTGTACAGAACTCATAGTCATCTGAACCGAGATAGAGGCCCCTACAGTCCTTCTCTCCTAAGACACACACACGTACACTCACTCACACACATTCATGTTTCAGATGTCACCGTAATGACAAGGTAGATCCTACACAGACAAAACCTTGCAAGGTTTAAGCCTAATAATTAGACACGAGAATCTTTCAGTGTGGGCGCTCTGTGCAGAATGCAGTATAACCAATCCCTTGCTTTAACCCAACACGGTGGTTCCTAAGGCAGCCACACGGGATGGTACTACAAGCATTGTGGACTTACCTGTGAGAAGCACAACAAAAGGCCCTAAGATTCCCTTGAAATTAAGAAATAATAATGTTGCATCCATTGGGCCCCAGGCAGGACTTGAAGGAGATTGAGGAACAAGGAGTGGGCGTCTCTGAGCCGCCATGTTGCCCCGGTGCTCAGCTCCACCGCAGCTCATCAAGACACCGGAAGCATCTATTTGTAAAACTTTGCTTTTTCAACTGAATTTTTTTTATTACCAGTCAAAACTGGTACCGTCTTTGGCAGTGAAACCCAAATCTCGTCAAGGTTGCTTACTGCACACCTCCCCGAGTGCACCCCGGAATTCCACACAGAAATTAAAAGAGCCTTTTACCTCCAGCCAAAGTCCAGGACCAGACTGAGCTACAGCTTGTTCTGATTCAATTCTCCTGATTTAATGGTTTGTGGAAACTACATCATGACCTGAGCTATCTTCTCCCCAAAGTCATGCATGGAATGCTTTGGCCCCTAGCATGAAGGTATTTGGAGGTGGGGCTAAGACATCATTGGGGGTAGGTGAAAAGTCAGGAGGGTGGGTCTCTCGATTGTCAGGACAGGCGGCTCCATAACAAGGGAAGGTGTGAGACCCTTCATCCCCTGTGGATGCACTGGGGGAAGCTGCATAAGGGCACAGCAAGAAGGCTCCACCTGCAAGCTAGGGACACAGCTGTCTCTCCAAGTCAGCTGTGCTGTGCCTCTAACCTTAGACTTCTATTTCCAGACTTGGGAAAATACATTTTCTTTTTTAAGCATATCATTGTTCATGCATAGCTAACTGCTGCACTGTTTTCTTCTCTCCGTTGTCTTCTAAAGTTACATAGGAAGGCTTATGCAGCACAGATTCCTTCCTCACGGCGTTCATCACATCGAAGTGATAATTTCATGCAAATTACTGCCGCCTACCACACACTTGCCTACTTGCACACACATACACACATATACAAACATTCACACACATGTACAAATACACAGACACACGCTTTTAAATAGTTGTAGCTATTTCAAACTTCCTGAAGAGAGAAAACACATAGAGAATTGAATTTGCTGTTGCTCTGGGAAGGAACCAGGGTGGGAGCAGGAGAAAACAGGAAACGGGCATAGGAGATCTTATAAGGGTGAAAAAATATTCTTATAAATGTTGAATTAAATTTATTAAACTTATTTAATTTTATTTTAAAAATAAAATATCTTTGAAATTCATTAAATAACTGACTAAATTTATCTTAAAAACATTATGGCATGAACTTTCATGCAAGAAATAGAATCTGAATTAAAAAAAAACATAAAACACACTTTTAGAGCATAAAACTTTGTGAATGCTTTCTTTCTTTCTATGGGAATTGCCATGGTGACTTTAAAACAGAAATGAATTTCCCTGGACAAGAACACTGCAGGGAGTATGGCTAATCACTCGGAGTCTCACACGTAGATATGAATAGATGACATTTCCTATCACATATTTGGCCAATCTAATTGTCATCACCCACACCGAGGCCCTGCCAGCACTGGACCCAGCCAGATGTTTATTGTACGAGAGTAATAAGTGCTTGCTCCCACCAAGGCCTCGCTCCTGAAGGCGGCGGTGCCAGGCAAGTACTCTGCCACCGACTCCACCCCCAGTCCTGTGTTGTCTTAAGTGATCGAACACAATAATCCTGTGGTGGAGCAAGGAGGAAGTCCTCGACACTGGGATGGCAGACTTGGGCATAGACTCAGTCCCTTACTGTCTGCCGCCAGAGCCTGAGTTCTTATCTCCCGTGCCATGTTCTTGTAAGTAGACAAACACACAGGAAAACATGCCAATGACTCAAGAACTTCTTTAGGCTTTTTTTTTTTTTATCCATGGCCCTGCTGAGCATCAGCCTCATTCTGCAAAAATGAACCCAAAGGAAAGCGAAGC